TGTCCGTGCCCCGCTTGCCCACTTCGGCGTGGGCGAGTCCAACCCCTCTCACTAGAGAGATTCCTCCTCCTCCCCAGCCCCATCTTTCTGGGAGAGACCGCACTGGTGCACTTTTGCCTGGAGCGCTTTTGCCTCCCCACCCGCGGCCTCGCCGCCAGGTGCACTGTCCCAGAGTTTGCCGCGGCCGAGCCAAATGCCGCGCGCGATTTTTCTAAACACGACGCAGATTTGGATTTAGGGACCGCAGTAATTCAGAGGAGCAAGAGGTGACAGCAATGAAACATTCCAAGATTCCAAATGTTCCCAGGATTCCCAAGACTTCCAAATGTTGCGCACGGGCTGCAGAAACGAGGACCGATAGATACTCTTGGAGCTCCTGGAGCGTATCCTGAGCCAATCGCATCATGACATCAATCTCGTCCTGGTAGCGCAGGCCGTCTGTTTGGGCAGCATGTTTACGCAGTGAACCGCGCCCGCCGTCGCTTGCCAGCATCTTTGAGGCAGCTTGCGCCTGGCGCGAGTTCTGCGTGCGGTGTCCTCTGCGACGGGAAAGTCTCGTCCATCCTCCTCCCTCCTCCTCCTTTGTCTCTCTCTCTCTCTCTCTCTTGCGTATTCCTCTCCACCTCCCTCCTCCCTCCTCCCCCTCCCCCTTCTTTTCCCCTCTACAACGAGTCAATAATATGAATAGTACTCTCATCTCTCCCACGAGAACTTGCTGACAGTATCCCGCCCTCTCCGTGCACAGAATTTGCAAAGTTGATGTTTACATGGTATTTTCCATCGGAACGTTTCCTGTGCTTCAAGACGGTGCTCCAGCCGCGACGTGCGCCTCGTTTCAGGATCGGCGCTTTGCCCCCGTCGTGCAGAATTGCTATCTCACCTCAGCGCGGGCCACTTTCCTGGATCCGAGTCCTTCCTCATCGTTGTCTCCCCGCTGCTTTCCCCTCCTCCGCCTTTCCCTAGTCCTCCTGTTCATCCCGTTCCTCCTCCTGCTCCTGCTCCTGCTGTCCCCCCTCGTTCTCCTCTTTCATTTTCCTCCTCTTCCTCCTGCTCATCCCCCAGCTCATCCGCCATCTCGTTCCTCTTCCAATCTACACAGATCGCCTTTTCGGATTGCGCAGAATGCGAAGGATCCCTCTTGTTTTTCCGTGTCTGTTATGACACCAGTTGGCGGATGGAGAAAAGTAGTTCGATGGCAAGGGATAGGTGGGAGGGGTAAGACGTCATATGGCGCGAGCGCACCTAGCTTGCCATTCCCCCTCTCGCCTCCCCCTTTTCCCTGTCCCATCACCCCTTTTTCCTTCCCCCCCCCCTCTCCCCTCCAGTCTTCGGCTCGCTGATCTGCTGGCTACGCCTGAGGCCATTCGAGCCGCACGAGATCGCCACCTTCCTCGGGTACGTGCTGCGGAAGCGAGGCGACCCCAGCTGCCGCGTCTTTTCCTGATGCTCCCACCGCTCATTCTCCCGCTGCTCCTGCTGTCCTTCTTGCTGCTATGATTTTTTCATAACGTCGACCCCCAGAGGTCTGGACCCCTTCCCCAGGTCTGGTTTCTCATCCTCAGCCTTTTTTCGACAGTCCCCGGTAGGGGCCCCCAGAGGCCGAGAATAACGACAAGTCTCCCGTCATGATGCTTTAGTGGTCTGCCTGCTTCTCCCCTCCTCTCCCCGCCTTCGCCAGGCAGCAAAGCCTGTGCGGGAGCAGCGTAGAGCTTTTTGGGACGATATCTCAGAACTCCACGGCCAGCTCCTTGCAGCTTGCATCGGATCCTCAGGGACTGACAGTCGGCGGGGGCTCCTGCCTGTTTTTGTCGTTGCTGCTTCTCCTCCTTCTCACCTCTGGCGTTCGCCTTATCCTCCTGCTCGTCCCCTTTCTCCCCCTTTCTCGTCCCCCCCCGCTGCTCTGTCCCTCCACCCCTCCCCCTCACGCCGCGGAAGCGAGGCGATCCAAAGCTACCCACCGATCCGGACGGCCTGTACCAGACCGTCGAGGCGGCGCTGGATGATGAGGAGGAGGATGAGGAGGAGGAGGAGGGGGACGGGGAGGAGGAGGAGGAGGAGGAGGAGGAGGAGGAGGAGAAGGATAGTGATGATGATGATGATGATGATGATGATGATGATGAAGATGATGATGATGATGATGATGATGATGATGCTGATGATGAGGAGGAGGAGGAGGAGGTGCGAGTATGATGATCACGATGAAGGCGGGGTTTATGATGATGATGCTGATGATGATGATGCTGATTCTGATGATGATGCTGACGATGATGATGGTGATGATGGTGATGGTGATGATGATGCTGATGATGATGATGATTGTGATGATGGTGATGATGATGCTGATGATGATGATGATGATGATGATGATGCTGATGATCATGCTGATGACGATGCTGATGCTGACGCTGATGAAGATGATACTGATGATGATTGCGATGATGCTGATGATGATGATGATGGTGGTGATGATTCTGATGGTGGTGGCGGTGGTGCTAATGATGCTGCTGCTGCTGATGATGATGGTGATGATGATGGTGGTGCTGTTGGTGTTGGTGAGGGTGATGGTGATGCTGGTATTGATAGTGTCGTCTATGATGAGGAAAATAAGGAGGAGCGATAAGGGGATTCGATCAGCAGAGGAGGACGCGGAGGAGGAAGAGGAGTACCAGTGTAATTCGAAGACTAATCAATAAGCCCTTCTCAACGTTCCCTCTTATCTTCATAGGCCCCATAGAAGGATCTCCTTTCACTAAGGGTGTTTTCCCATTGGAAGACAACCGTTTGAACATTTTGCACTGCGCCAGAACGCAATTCCTGGGACGTCAACGCCGCGAATCACCGGTACTGCTTCGTCTGGACGGTCCTGAATCGTGCCAGAACACTACTCCTAGAACTTCAACACCGCGCGCGAATCAACGTGAGCGTTGCGCCCTGACAGTCCTTTATCGTGCCCAAACACCGTTTCTGAGACGTTAGCCCTGGTAATCTTTGAAGCTCTCGCAACTTTTTGAGACGAATGTGCGTGGCGCTCATGCGAGAGCCACATTTTGAACAGGAGCCGCCCTCCATCCGTCAAGCTCTTGCAAAGACTTAGCTTGAGGATCGTAAAGGGGGAGGAAGTCTCAGGCGAAACGCCGGGCCCGCCCTACCGACACGCCTCGGGGTGCGATGGTAAGGAAATGAATGGATGATGATGATGATGATGATGAGGAGGAGGAGGAGGAGGAGGAGGAGGAGGAGGAGGAGAAAGAGGAGGAGGAGGAGAAGGAAAAGAAAGAGGAGCAAAAGGGTGAGGATGAGAAGGAGGCGCAGCAGTTGGAGGAGGAAGGGCAGGATGATGGGTTAGAGGGCAGCCTGCTTCGGATGTTTACAGGCAGCGTGCAACGCTGCGGACCTGGCGTTCGACGGGAAGTCAGCGAAGATGGCGCCCCCTGTGAACCTGAAGCTTCTCTCGAAGGCCCTGAGGAAGAAGCCCAAGGCGGTGGACCCCAATCAAAACAGGCCCCGGAACAGCAGGTGCCCGCTCTGCTGCTGCTCTGCCTGCTGTACCTTCTCCTCTTCGCCCTCCGTCTACTCCCTTGTTGCCCTTCCTTTTCACTCCTCCATCATTGGGGGGTGATTGCGTTTGTGAAAGAACAAATCCTCCCTCCCCACCCTCCTCTGCCCTCCGTCCCTCCCTCCTGGGTCTGGGTGTGTCTGGCCTTGTGCGTTCCCGTAGTCATGAAACATGCTAGGGGCCTCCTCTCTCCTCCCTTCCTCCCTCCCTCCCTCCCCTGCCTCCCTTCTTCCCTTCCTCCCTCTTCCCTCCAATTGGCGAGCTGCAAGGGGCCGCAATCCAACAAGGCGGAACCGCCCAAGACGGATCCAACGAGGCAGCGTAAGCTGGACTAGCAAGACAACAACATCAAGCTGTAATCGAGAAGTTCCCAGCCGCACCACTCCTGGCTGCGATCGTGGGGCCGCCAGGTATTACTCATAAGCGCTTCCCGCAGACCACCCCCAGCAACGTCTTCATCCCCATCAGAGACATGAGTGACGAGCTCCAGAGCGATGTAGAGGCAGCCATGCCCCGGCACGTGCACATCGGCTTGTGTCGTCAGAGCACTATCCAAAAGAGGCTCCGACAAAGCAAACAAGTTTGCTGCCATCAGAAAGGTCTTCCCGCGCCTCTCCCAAACCCAGCAGGCCCAGAGTGCGCAAACGCTCTGGCACAGGGACGTGCCGCTGCTGAGGGATGGCAGCGCATCGTTTACCAACTAAACGTAGCCAAGGAGCTCAGCCTTTAAGTTCTTGTCTTGCGCTTGTGCGACTTGTTGCGTGTTGTGAACCGCTGCGGTTGCAGCCGTCTTTGTCTTATGGCTTCAGTTGCCATTTCCGCATCGTCTCATCTCCTAGATCAGATGGCATGTTTTGTGTGTGTGCTTTTCTAGGCGGGCTCTGGCTTGGACTCGGGCTGGGGCTAAGGTATTTTTTTACAGGTGGGCCCGGGCTTGAACCCAGACCGGGCTCACGCTCGGGCCCGGGCTCGCTTCCGGGCGCTCGGGCCCCGGTCCAGACGGATTGACGAACCACAACGTCATGTTACTGCTTCCTCTTCAGGACACGCCACTGCAAGAACGGTCAGGTTTCGGCGTACTGCTGGCCAAGCCAATACGGGGCGTGCCAGCCTATACCAGCCTTAGGCTCGGGTTCGAGCTCGGCCTCGGTTCCGGGCTCGGCCTCGGACTCGGGCTCGGGCTCGGGCTCGGCCTCGGGCTCGTGGGGGCCGGCCGCGCAGCCCTGGCGTCCGGCTGGCGCGCCAGGGAGGAGGGTCCGGCGCCGATCCAAAAAATCCGCGCGGATCTCCGAGGTTTTTATATGCTTGTGGTGCTTCTTCTTCTTCTTCTTCTTCTTCTTCTTCTTCTTCTTCTCCTTCAAAAAAAATACCCTGCCTGTCAATCTCTGTGGAAGCTTGCCTGGCAGCTGTCTGCAGTAAAAAAAACCTTCTTCAAACAGGGTCGAGCCTTTAGCTCCGATTGGCAGCAGGACTTGGCTTTCCTGTCGAAGCGCAACAGCAGAGCCTTCCCCTCTCCATCCCTGCTCCTCCGATCCGCGTGCCCCGGCGACGGCCCCACTCTAAGGGCAGGTGGCCACCACAGCGAGGCGTGCAGGACGAGTCTGACACCCTTGGCTTCCCTCCCTCCCTCCCTGCCTCGCTCCCTCCCTCCCCTCCCTCCCTCCCTCGCTCCCTCCCTCCCTCCCTCGCTCGTTCGCTCGCTCGCTCGCTCGCTCCTCCTCCTCCTCCTCCTCTTCCTCCTCGTTTCGTTGGTTTTTTTCCATACTTTTTGTCGTCTCCCTCCCTCCCTCTCTATCATTTTTTTTTTTTTTTTTTTTTTCTCTCTCTCTCTCTCTCTTTTCCTCTCTACTGTACTTCCTGGGGCATCGTCGTCCTCTTCCAGCTGTGTAGGCCTGTGCTCCTGGTAAACGTGCGCAAGAGCTACATGCTCTGAGCGTGCGCCGCCGCCTGCGACCTACCCCCCCCGCGCCCGCGCGCTCACTTGCCCTGCTGTGCCCAACTCGGCCCTGTGGTGGTCCCTCGGCTTGCTTCGACCGCGGCGTGGATCCGCGCCGCTGCGACCAACAAACGTCTCTCCCCCTCCCTCTCCCCCTACCTCTCACTCACACCCCTCCCCCTCCTTCTCTCCCCCTCCCTCTCCCTCTCCTTCTCCGTCCCCCTTTGTCCCTCTCTCCCCCCCTCCCTCCCCCTCTCCTTCTCCCTCTCGCTCTCTCTCCCTCTCCTTCTCCCTCTCGCTCTCTCTCGCTCTCTCTCTCTCTCTCTCTCTCCTCCAGGTGCTGCTTGATGTGAGCTGGGGCGGACGCGGCTCCGCTGCTCCCCTCCCGTGGCGCTGCCGTGAGAGGCGGGGCCCCCTGCGCCGCCGCGCCTCCTCGCGCGGGCGGGGGCGGGGCGCCGCCGCGCCGCCCCGCAGGGCGTGGGGCGGGGCCTCGCCCAGGCTGGCGCGTCTCGGCCGCCCTCGTCGGCTGCCCCGTGGGCTCCTGGGCCTCCCAGACGGGGCCAGCGTGCCGGAGGTCCGACGCCCCCCCCCCCCACAGGATTGGACCGGGCGGTTTGGGGGCCCTCGCCGGGCCTGGGGACCGTCAAAGAAGGACTCCGGGCGAAAAACCGGCACCAGGGGGGTGGTCCAGACCTCCGGGGCCCACGCATCGAAACACCTGGAGCAGCCAGTTGTCTTGGTCCAGGAGTCTAGGCCTCCCACATGGGGTCCCAGCAGATGGGGTCGAAGGATCTCGCCGCATCGCCGATGCATCGCCGATGCATCGGCGATGCGGCTCGATGTGGAGCCAGATGTTCTCCGCGCCGACGTCGCCGATGCATCGGCGATGCGGCTCGATGTGGAGCCCGATTTTCCCCGCGCCGACGTCGCCGATGCATCGCTGTCGTCGCGGCTGCATCGCCATAGCATCGGCGATGCATTGTCGATGCAGCTCGATCCTCCGACCCCATGTGCTCCGACCCCATCTAGGAGGCCTCTGTGGGCGCCTTGGGCGCGCGGAGGGGGGGGGCTTAGGCCTCCAGAGCACCGTGAACATTCCGTGGGCTTCAAGAACTTCTTGGCAGTTTTCAGGATTTTTCGAGGCCTCGGGTGGTTTCAATCGGCTGCGCCCCGAACGGCCACCAGAAGCCCGAGATATGACCCGAACGCCAAGGGCAACCGCGGGGGGGGGGGGTCCAGACCTCCAGCGCATAGAACAAAAAAACGAGGCGGAGGTTTTTCGTTGTTTTCGGCGTCCGGGGGCCCTCGATGGGCCCCGGGACCGCCAGAAAACGATCCAGGAAAAAACACCGGTCCCTGGGGAGTGGTTCAGAGCTCCAGGGACTCCGTATTGTCGGAGGTCTGGGAAAGAGTGGCCTTTTGCTGGACTTATCTTTGGTGCGGGGCCCAGGCCCCCCCGCACACCCGTCATAAATCTTAAGAAACAGTATCGAAAAATCAAGAATCTGCACTGGACCCTGGGCGTTTTCTTCGAGCTTTGTTTTTTGGTAGAGTGTTCGTGCATCCGGGCCTGGACTTTTGTTTAAGAAGCGCTAGGAGTGAAGCCCTTTCTCTTAGCTTCAACTTTTCTTAACTCTAAGCAGAGGTGTAGCACTGGCCGGCGCGCCTGGATTTGGCCCTCTGGCCGCCGTTGAAGCCGACCGCCGAAGGCCACTCTTGCCTAGGGTCGCTCTTACGTTCTCGGCCTTTCACGGATCCCCAGAAGTCAGGACACCTCGAATAGGAGATCGACTACATAATTGATTTACCCCAAACTTTTTTCGCCGCGTCTACAAACAATTGCGTTGAATGCTCCGTAGACGTAAGGAGTGTAGTACAATATTTCGTGCAGTCATGGGGACAACAATTTTGGATTGGATTCCCTACTCGAACGCCGTTATCGGAAAAGAAGCGGTGACATACAAAAACATGAGTTTTCGGAGGTCTGCTTCTGTGCGGATTTCTTGGGGCTGCGCTGGACCCCCCCCGCTCGCGCCGGGGAGTGGGGCCCAGCGCCGATCCGAGAATTCCGCGCGGACCTCCGGGAGTTTGTGTTTCCATGAATTTTCTTCCTCCGGGAAGCCAGGAGAGTTCCGGACAACCTCTCGTTGCGAAGAACATCCACCCTGCCGGAGGGCCCCTGGCGGCCGTCAAAGAGCGGGTCGGGATGAGGAGCCAGTCACAGGGGAAAGGTCCAGATCTCTGGGGGGTCCACGCTGCAAGCAAAAACACGACGGCGGAGGTCTGGGCTGTCAGGCAGGCCCGGGATGAAGGTCAATCGACCCAGAGCGGTTCGGAACGCTTTCAGAGCGTTCCGGAGCTTTCTGGGCTTCCGCCAGTTCTCAGAGGGTATCCCGATTTGTCCGCACTTCAACTTATTGTGATCTTGTCCTCGCCGTTCTTGCAAGCCAGGACCTCGGAGAAGCCAAGCTGGGGAAAACGAAGAATGAGAATCTCTTCGGCCCACGGCCGCAGCTGTCTTGGGCGTGCCAGTGCCCCGCTTTGTCATAGCCCCTGCTCACGGTGCCGATGTTGCAGCCTAGCGCACGAGGCGGCCAATGCCCGTGAGGTCTGAGTTGTTATCCCCCGCTTGTCTCGCTTATGACCTTCCTCGTCCTCCTCTCTCCCTTCGCCTCCTCCCAGTTCTTTTCACGTTTCATGTTGAACGGAACCGCAGCTGCAGCAGACGTCATTTGAATCGAACGAGCTCCAGGCGTACGAGAGAAGCCCTCAGAGAAAGTGTTCATCGTCACGTCATTTGTATCAATCTGCCGTCTATTCTTCGTCCTTGCTGCCACGCCGGCGGCCTTGGGGGAGCGACTGGCCGACACAATTCAAGAAAACGTGCGGTCAGCTACACACCTTTCTCAGGGCAGGGAGCTGTCCAGACCCCTGGAGGTTCGTGGAGGCTTTGTCGCCGTGCTCGGCGTCTTGAGGCCTGTTTCGGGCCAAGGGGGCCGTCGAAAATCCATCTGGGGTGGAGAACTGGCCAGGCTGGGCCCTGGGAGAGGTCCGCGGGGCCGATCTTCAGCGGACTCTGCACGGCTCGGAGGAGACAAACGTACCGCTGCCGATGCCCTGCTCTCGTTTTCGCCTTTTCTGTTCCTCCCTTGGGGGCCCTCGTCGCCACGGCTTTATTCGCCTCGGGCGCCCGGTCGGAACGCACACTGGGAGAGGCGGCGTCGGTGTCTTTTTGCCCCCAGGCTGCCTCAGCTCTCGCGGTTGGGCCTGAGGAGCTCGCCTTTCGAGAAGACATGCCCCCCAAACCAAGCCTAGCCTCCCCCCTCCCTCCCCCTCCCGCGCCCACGCTGCGCGTGCTCGGCGCTCCCACACGCGCAGAAAGGAAAAGTAGGACGGAGGAAGACGGAGAGGGAGGGCGGAGAAGGAGGAAGAGGAGGCGGCGGAGGAGGAGGAGGACCAGTGTAAGCTCAAGACGCATCAATGATGTTTCAAGAAACCCTCCCTCCCAGCTCCCTCTTCACAGGCTCCTACAAGAATTGTTTTCGCTGCGGGAAGTGATCCATTAGAAGACAACCGTCTGATAATCCCCAATCGCGCCAAAACACCGCTCCTGGGACTGCAGCGCCGCGTATCGATGTGACTGTTGCGTCCTGACGATCCGGAGTCGTGCCAGAACTCCGTGCCTGGGACTTGAACACCGCAAATCAACGCGACTGTTGCGCCCTAACAGTTTTACATAGTGCCCAAGCACAATTTCTGGGACGCCAGCCAAAATAATTTGTGTGCTGCTGTAAGCTCTGAAGACGAATAAGCGCGGCGCTAAGGTGGGAACCACATTTTGAACATGAATCGCCCTCCATCCATGACATTGCTGTAAAACCTTAGGACGTATGGGCGCGGCGCTACGGCGAGAGTCAGATTTTGAAAATGGCCCGCCCTCCATCCGTGCAGATGTTGCAATTTTCAACAAGAGTGCGCGCGGCGTTCAGGCGAGGGTCACATTTTGAGAACGGCCCGCCCTCCATCGGTGAAACTGCCAATTTTCAAGACGAGTGTGCGTGGCGCTCGGGCGGGAGCCTTATTTTGAAAACGACCCGCCCTCCATCTGTGAAGCTATTGCAAACTTTGAAGACGAATGTGCGCGACGCTAAGGCGAGAGTCACATTATGAAAGCGGCCCGTCCTCCATCCGTGAAGCTGTTGCACATTCCAAGTTTCAGGATCGTAAACGGTGAGGTGGTCTCAGGCGAAAAGCCCGGCTCGCCCCACTGACGCGTCTGCGGGTGCGACAGGGAGGGGTTATCTTTTTAAGATAAAGGGGTTCTGGGAAAGGTATTGAGGAGAAGGAGGAGGAGGAGGAGGAGGAGGAGGAGGAGGAGGAGGAGGAGGAGGAGGAGGAGGAGGAAGAGGAGGCGGAGGAGGAGAGGAGGATGAGGATGAGGATGAGGATGAGGATGCGAATCAGGAGGAGGAGGAGGAGGAGGAGGAGGAGGAGGAGGAGGAGGAGGAGGAGGATTAGGAGGAGGAGGAGGAGGAAGAGGAGGCGGCGGAGGAGGATTTTGACCAGTGTTCACCCAAGACCCACCAACGATGTTGCAATACACCCTCCCTCCAAGGTCCCTCCTCATACAAGGATTCAGTTTCACTCAGGGAAGTGACTCATTAGAAGACAACCGTCTGAAAATCCCCAATCGTGCCAAAACACCGTTCCTTGGACAGCAGCGCCGCGTATCGACGTGACTGTTGCGCCCTAGCAGTTTTACATAGTGCCCAAACACAATTTCTGGGACGTCAGCCATAAGAACCTCTGTGCTGCTGTAAACTCTGAAGACGAATAAGCGCGGCGCCAAGATGGGAACCACATTTTGAATTTGAATCGCCCTCCATCCTTGAAGCTGCTGCACACCTTTAGGGCGATTGTGCGCGGCGCTCAGGCGAGAGTCAGAATTCAAAAACGGCCCGCCCTCCATCCGTGAAGATGTTGCAATTTTTGATAGGAGTGCGCGCGGCGTTCAGGCGAGAGTCACATTTTGAATACGGCCCGCCCTCTATCCGTGAAGCCGGTGCCAATTTTCAAGACGAATGTGCGTGGCGCTAGGGCGAGAGTCGCATTTTGAAAACGGCCTGCCGTCCATCCGTGAAGTTCAGCACATGTTGAAGAGCCACATTTTGAAAACTACACGCCGTCCATCGTGAAGCTGTTGCGCAAATTTCAAGCCTCTGGAGGATCGTGAATGGTGAGGACGTCTCGGGCGAAACGCCCGGCCCGCCCTACCGACACGTCTCTGGGTGCGACAGGGATGAGTCATTTATAAGGAAAAGGAATGGAGCAGGAGGAGGAGGAGGAGGAGGGA